CCTATTCCCCAGACCTTTCCCTCCCAGCCCGTAGCCTCCGCGACCCGGGGGCGCACCCGGCCGGAGACTGGCTGCCTTTCGCAGGCACTTACTGCGCCTCCTCCAGCTACGTTTCGCTTGACCTAAGAGCAGCTAGCCTGAAAAGTGGCCAGTCTTTGGTAAATGCAACGGCACTGTTTCTTTACTCGGTGCCTCACTAAGTCAGTCACCTTGTCAGTTGGTCAGTTGGCAACGTGGCCAGGCACTCCTGCTTTTGCTCAGCCACTCTCTCTAATTCTTAGGCACCAACTCGATGCCAGGAGTCACCTCAACGCCTGCTGACCAGTCTGCTAGTGCCTATCCGTAACAATTCATTCTTGGCACTGCAGCTAAAGAGCATTAAAAAAAATTTTGTTTTTAATGTTTATTTTTGAGACTGAGCCAGAGACAGAGTGCACGTCGGGGAGGGGCAGGCAGAGGGTGATACAGAATCTGAAGCGGGCTCCAGGCTCTGAGCCATCAGCACAGAGCCCAACAGGGGGCCCGAACTCAGGAACTGTGAGTTCATGACCCCAGCCAAAGTTGGCCGCTTTACCCACTGAGCCACTCAGGCGCCCCTATAGGGCATTCTAGAACACGAATCCCATCGTGTCTCTACACTACATATAGCCTGAAGTAGCAATTTGTTTGCCATTGAACCCTGTATTGACTCCCTGCCTTTTCCTGCCTCACTTCTCCACTGTCTTGGGATCTATATACCAACCATAACTGATTAGAAACAGTTAAAAAAAAATGTGTTGTTTGTTTTATAGCAACAAAATATAAGTTGTGTAGGAATATATCTAATAAAATATATGCAAGATGCTTCATTAAACAACAAGTTATTAAGCCTCTAGTCTTTCTTTTAATTTTAAGCCTCTAGTCTTATGGCATGCCTCATTCTTGACTCTGAGGATACAATGAACAAAACCAACAAGCAACTGTCCTTGTGGAGTGTATGTTCTCACAGGGAAAATTACAAAACATTGAAGGACATTAAAGAAGGCCTGAATAAATGGAGGAATATACCCTGTTCATGGACTGGAAAACTCAATATCAAAAAGATGTGTATTTTCCCAAATTCAGTCAGGATTTTTGCGAAACCGTCTCAACCCAAGAGAGGCAAATATCAATGGAATAATAAGGGGATCCTAGAAACAGACACAGGTGCCCGTGTGCATGTGTGTGTTTTAACTTGATGTGCAATAGAGGTGGCATCATAAGTCAGTGGGGAAAGGATGGGGAGCTCAGTATATAGCGTTGAGAAACTGGCTTTCTGTAGGAGTGAAAAATAGATGCCTAATTCAAGCAGGTTAAAGAATAAATACAGCAAACAAATACTTCAGGCTATTAGAAAATATACATATATATAATATTTTATGATGTCATGGTGGAGAAAGATTTCTTAATAAAGCACAACTCAGCAGAGAAAATTAATCTGTGACCCTCTCAAAATCTAAACTGCCATACAACAAAAAAACATTGTAAGTTCAATTAAAAGACAAGCTACAGGGGTGCCTGGGTGGCTCAGTCGGTTAAGTGTCCGACTTTGGCTCAGGTCATGATCTCACGGTTTCATGAGTTCAAGCCCCGTGTCAGGCTCTGCGCTGACAGTGCAGAGCTTGCTTGGGATTTGCTCTCTCTCCCTCTCTTTCTGCCCCTCCCCCACTAGTGCTCCCCACTAGTGCTCTCTCTCTCTCTCCCTCTCTCTCTCAAAAATAAATAAATAAAGGTAAAAAAACAAAAAGACAAGCTACAGATGAGGAGGAAATATCTGCAACACATATAACAAAGGACCAGTACTCAAAGAACTACAAACTATTAAGAAAAAGACTACTCTTGCCTCACAAAAGAAAACTGGACAAAGTACATGAATAGAAAACTTTCAGCAGAAGAAACTCAAGTAGCCAATAAGCAAATTGAGATATGTAAATCAAAACAATTATAAAATATTATTTTAAACACATCATCTAGATAAAAATAAGAACATTTAAAAAAAAATTTTTTTAACGTTTATTTATTTTTGAGAGAGAGACAGAGCATGAGTGGGGAGAGGCAGAGAGAGAGGGAGACACAGAATTGGAAGTAGGCAGGCTTCAGGCTCCGAACTGTCAGCACAGAGCCCGATGTGGGGCTCGAACTCATGAACTGCGAGATCATGACCTGAGCTGAAGTTGGACACCTAACTGACTGAGCCACCCAGGCACCCCTAATGTCAAGTATTTTTAAGGATGTGTGGAAATCAAACCTTTATATGCTGTTGGTACAGTCACACTTTGGAAGGCCATTTGCAATATCTCATAAAGTTGAA